TGAGTGTATCGATATGTTCTAGTCAGGCAGCGGGATGGTGAGCCCTAGGGTGGAGAGAAAGGATTCTCGAAGAGAATGCTCAGCTCTGTGCCACCGCCTGTCAGAGCGACCACAGCTCTGCAACCAAGAAAGATCTGGCATCAGCAACACTTGCGTACATTGATGACCCGCAGCCAAGTATGTGCTGAAATCCCCTCAATGGGCCAGCGTCGTGGCACAGCGGGTTAAGGCACTGTCGGCAAAGCCCAAGCACCAGTTCGAGACCCGACTGCTCTACTTCCAATCCAGCTCCCTGCTAATGTGCCTGGATGAAGTTCCAGCCTCCTGGCTTGGGCCTGACCCAGCCTCGGCCATTGCTGCCATTTGGGGAGTGAACGAGGAGATAGAAGAATGACTCTCTCTCATTGCCTTTCAAATAAAATAAAATTAAAAAAAATAATAATAAACCCTCTTCACTTGCATCCTAACTCCCACTGCTACATACGCTTCATGTTTTTAATATGTATGTTTAAGTCTTTATTTCTGTCTACTTGAAAGGCAGAGTGACAGAGAGAGACAGAAATCTTCCATATGCTGGTTCATTCCCCAAATGCCCACAACAGCCAGGGCTGATCCGGGCTGGGGCCAGGAGCCTAAGCACTTGAGCCATCATCTACTGTCTCCCAAGGTACATTAGCAGAGAGCTGGATTGGAAGAGGAAAAGCCAGGATTCAAACCAGCAGTCTGATATGAGATGGTGGGCATTGCAAGTGGCAGCTTAACCCACTGTACCATAGCACCTGCCCCCACAACTTCACATTCTAGTTTGTATAACAATGTAATAGAATATCAATATAATACAACCCAACTAGGAAACCACCTCCAGTTCTAGTAACACATTGTCCCAGTTTTATTCCTAAACATGGATACATCCATCCATTCAGCCAACTAGCCATCTTTCCTCCATCCATCCTCCCATCTATCCATCCATCCATCCATCCATCTGTTCTAGAGAGGCAGCGAGCAGACGGAATAAAACAGGGCACAGTGCTGCTGGAGTCCCGGCTCTACCACAAACTAGCGGCTCGGGGTAAACCACTTAATGTCTTCAGGCCATGTTTTCCTCATCTCTAAAATAAGGACAATAACCGCGCCTATGATTAGCGGAGTCACAATGATTAAATTAATGCGAGTGCCTGGCAGAGAATAAGCCCTCAAGGGTTAATCATCATAATGACAATAATTATTATGATTACTATACTGAGGCTATTGAAAACATTCACTCATCCACACCCATGTGGACTAGGCTCTGGACTAGACAGCAAATACTGTTAGCCCTCTGATTTTGCAGGAGTCTTTGGTGGGGCATTAGATTTCTGGTGGCAAGGCCTCCAACACAGCCTCCCTCTCTTTCTGGGAGGAGGGCGGGCCCCAGCACCAGAGCCATGTTTAAACAATTATGAGCATTCTGTTGGAGGCACTCATGACCATAGGAGGCTGGCCCCAGCTCGTGGTGTTCATCTCGCAGACGCATCTTTTGTGTGGGTTTTGGGTTACAGCTGTGCAACGCAAAGCCATAGAGTGAGTCGCAAAACGAGTTTTCGAAAGCTGGACCTGTCACAAAGCAGGCAGTGGCTCCTGCTGACATCCATTTGCACAGTAAGATTAAACAGCATGCTTCGACGGGCACTAAATACTAACACAGCTCCCACGTCAGGGGGACGCTGATTAAAAGTGACGTCAATAATTTATGAAACACAATATGGTCTTCAGATGCGCTTTTGCAAAAAAAAAAAAAAAAAAGGAGGGAAAGGGCCTAGCGACCCATGCTGTTAAAAATTCTTGGTGCATTTTCTCTTCAATGTCCCTTGCCCCATGCGTGGGTACTTCTTTACTCAATGCATGTAAATGCACATGTGCACAAAAGCACATGAACCCTGCTCACACACACACACACACTCACATAGGCGGAAGAAAGTATTTAGTTATTCCCTCAAGAGCTGTCGAGGCTGTAACGTTATACATACTCTTGTCTTTCATATTGTTTGCAGGATATCTTTTCCCCCAGAAGAAATCCAAAATCGCATTTCAAATGAAATTGGGCTTTTCGAAAGTTCATGTTTATTCCATACAGAACTCGAACTTGAGAGACAAGACCGAGAAGAATGCTGGACCAAAGAAAGCATCCAGGATACGTGTGTTTCTAAGTCACCCTCGGCCTTCCGAGTCAAACAATGTCAACACAGTTTTACATTTTTTGGAGGGTTTTTTTTTTTGGGGGGGGCGGGCACAGGGGTTCACCTAGGTAAGTGTGACTTTTTTTTCCCTCTATTATAAATCACGTTTTATTATTTTATAAAGGCAAAGGCAGCATGGCACGGTAAGAATGATTCAGTTTTTAACAAGACTGGCTTTTGGAATTTAAAAATATATATACTCTTTACTGTGCCTGAGTTGTAAGTCCTCTTGGTGGCTTGACTTCATGTCAACAGTGTGAAATTCACAAGATAGGATTATGTCGGGGGGTGGGGGGGACGATGGAAGCCACTGATGGTACAAGGTTACTGTGTGAAGGATTTATTAATGCATTTTCCTAGTGCAGGGCCCTGTGCGATCTCTGAACACCTGTTACATACTAATTCATTCACATATCTCCACTGCAGGGCCTTTTCATAAAACGTTGGACCTTGCATTGTAAATCAGTCCTCCACTGTCCTTGCTGGCTTTCTCTTTTTGCAGAATGATGGAAAAATCACTAAGACTTCAATTAAGATTTTATTGAAACTTCAATCCGATGTTCCCAGTTATATCTGCAAGGTATTAGAACATCTATTCAGAAAGGAAGCTATAAATAACCTCAACATAGTTGAATGCCTTCGCTTTTCTGAGATGACTGAATAATTGGCAAGATTTAAAGATACTTAACAACTGAGAATTAAAATAACTTCAGTAAAAAAAAAAAAAACAGAAAAAAATACTGTTAGCCAACCATTTGTCATGTAGATTATGTACTTATTAGGCCTAATTAAACCTTCTGAACCAGAAAAAAAAAAAAAGCTTACTAATTACATTAGTTAATATGTTGATTGCTCAATTTGGCCAAAAAACAAAACAACCAAAAAAAAAAAAAGCCAATCCAATTTGTGTGCATAGTGAGCGCTTTTGGTCAAAAGACAAAAATCCTCAACCAGAGATTATTTCAAGAGCATGACCATCTTTTGAAAAAATGCAAGTTGACTTGGCCACATGCAAAGTGACAGGGAGAGGAGAGGGCCTGGGCGTGTGAGTCTGAACAATGCCATCGCTAGGAGGAATCTTCGAGCCAGGAAAACCGTATCCCATCAATGAGTTTACTCGCCTCAATGTATTCACTGGTGTTTGTCCAATTAGACCCTGCCTGTGACGACACGAAGTCATCTTTTATACGCTCAGACAAACGAAAACTGATAGCAATACCCTGGGAAACCCTTTAAATGTCAATGAAGGGTTTTTACGCACAAAAGGGAGCAAAGAAAGGAGGACAGGGGGGGAAGAGAAGAGATGGGAAAAACCAACATCTCGGAGGGAACTGAGCAGATCAAAGAAGTCTTAGTCTCAAGACCACTCCGTCGTCGTAGTAGGGGTGTAAAGAGCCTCTCTCTCTCTCTGTCTCTCTTTCTTGGCAGACCCCTGAGAAATCTCCTGGAGCTGGGAAGCCCGGCCCGGCCCTGGAAGGCGAGGCACCAACAATCGGGTCTGCAGACGCGGCACAAGTTGGAGTGTGAAAAAATGGAGGCCCCGCCACGCAACAGGAGGCACGGGCGCCTGCGTGGGTCTCCAAGACATGTTTTCCATTCGCTCGCTCCAAAGTCTGCACCCCCAGCCATGAGGCACAAACTATTCGACAACAACATGACACAATTAATCAGAACCAGACCTCAGGACGTGTGTTTGTGAGGACCAACAAACTGTGCAGCAGTGTGCCTGGGAGCGGCAGAAGCCACTGCAGAGACCCACACTGGCGGCTCTGGGGGGCGGGGGCGAGGAGGGAAAAATCTCCCAAGTTCACAAAAGATGCACAGCCATCGGCACATCTGGGGACTCAGTATTGTCTCCCCTACAACCGGTGTGGGGTTCGCAAATGGACATCTCCCAGCAAAGGAGCAAGATGCGGTCTCACTTGCCGTCTGCATCGCTACACAGGGCAGACTTGTGCAATTCAGAATTACTCCTTCCCGCCCCCCAACCCCCCTTCTAAGCCTCATTTCTCACCCAGGCGGTATTCACCAGTGCCGGCTTTTGTCAGATTTCTCTTTCAGGAATTAAAACTCCATTAAAACGCCCAGACGCCGGGCCCTCGGTGCAATCACAACTGTTGAAACTCACCAAGCCCTGCAGCTAACAACCAACCACCGATCTGCCATACTTTTTCAGAACCCGGATTGAATTAGTTTAAAACAGTGAACTCCGCTTTGCCATCTGTAGATAACTAATTAATGGAAGTCACATCGCTTCTTTTTGCTAACGCAGACGGGCTGTTCAGAGGAGAGAGAGAAAGGCTCCCCCCACCACCACCACAATAAAAAAAAAAAGACAAGCGGAGGGCGCAGGGGTGGCATTCGTCGCGTCCCAAAGTGGGTCCCAGCAGCCAAGAGTTCTTTGCCACCTCCCAAGGGATTTGTGGGTGTGGGAGACGGGGAACTTCCCCCAAGCGCGCGCCCAGCTGCAGCCCCTGGGCAGGGCAGTGAATGCCGGCGTCTGGGTCCGCCGCCAGGGAGCCCAGCAGCAAAAGCGCCCAGCACCCCTACCCCAGCCGCGTACGACCCCCCGCCCCGCGTCCCGCGCCGTTCCCCCACTGCTTTTCAGCTCGGCCACGGAGCACCCAGGGGTGCGAGCTACCCCGCAATCAAGCCTCCCCTCTACCCCGACCGCGGTTGGCGGGGGAGTACAGGACACCCCGCGCCGCGCGCCCTCCCCCACTGCCCCGCACCGCACCGCGCCCTTCCCGCTGCCGGCGACCCGCGCGCGCGCGCCCCACTCACCCACGCACTCGTTGGCCTCCCGGGCCGTGGCGCGCTGCCAGGGCCGGTCGTAGTGGAAGGGCTTGCAGCGGTCGCATTCCGGGCCGGCCGTGTTGTGCCGGCAGTCGCACACCAGGCCGCCGTCGCGGTCGCGCACGCAGCGGGCCGCGTGGCCGTTGCACTTGCAGCGGCCGCCCACCTGCAGGTCGGACACGGCGTAGAAGTACGAGTCGCGCGCCAGCTCCGAGTCGTCCTCGTTCTCGTCGCCGAACGTGTGCAGGCGGCTGAAGGCGACGCGGATGTCGGTGGCCGTGACCCAGTCCTGCAGCACCGGCGAGTTGTCGAAGTCGTGCGCCGAGGGCCGCCCGTCCAGCGTGCTGAAGGCGATGAGGCCGCCCGAAAGCGGCCGCATGTCGGTGTGCGAGTCGGTGCACACTGCCTCCTGTTCGTTCTGCTTGGTGATGGGCGCGCGGTGCGGCCGGTTATACATCTTGCGGCACTGCGTGGAGTAGAACTGGAAGGGCACCCACGTGCGCCCATAGTCCATGGACTTGTAGATGGCCATGGACTCGGGCCGCGGCGAGCAGAACTGCAGGCTCACGTAGGTCACCTCGAACTTCTTGCCGAGCGACAGCGTGAGCGTGACGTTGTGCGGGAACTGCAGGTAGTTCTCGGACTGCCAGCACGTCAGGTTGTGCGGGTTGTTGAGGTCGGTGAGGAAGGCGGGCGGGTGCGCCTTCTTGGGGTCGGACGCGTTGCACAGGTGACAGGAGCGCAGCCGCTCCTCGCCGCGCTCGCTCACCACGCAGTAGCGCGCCGGGGGCCGGCCACAAGTGCTGGACACGCGCACGTCCTTGCCGAAGGCCGCGTTGACAAAGTCTGGGATGCAGCGGCGCGGGTGGCCGTTCTCGTCCGAGCAGGGGTCCGGCTGCGCCGCCTGGCCCGCGAACATGCTAAGCCCGGGCCCGCCGCGCACCGCGCCCACCAAGCACGCCACCGCCGCCAGCGCCGCCAGCGCCTCCCACACTGCGCGAATCATGCCGCGTCCAGCCTGCCCCGGCCCCGCCGAGGACTCGGTCCGCCCGCCGCACGAGGCGCCTGCAGAGAGAAGGGAGCCGCGCTCAGCCAGCCTGCCCCGCAGCCCTGCAGCCCACGGCGGGGTGGCGCTCGGGGTGGGGTGGGGGCGCGGGCCAACGCTGGGTTTCTCCGGGCACCCACCTCCGGGGAGCAGACTGCCTGCCTCGCTTCCTCCTTCGCCCCCCCCCAAAAAAAAAATCTCAGAGGGAAGACAGGAGAATCTGGGGGCCTCCCAGCCCCACGCTCCCGCTTTCCCAGCCGGGCGGCGAGCCGGGGGGCAGCGGGTGAACGCTCGGCTTCCGCGCCACCGCCGCCTCCGCGCCGCCCAAGGGGCTTTGCCCGCGCCCGTCCGCTGCCAGCCCGCCTCGCGCCCCAGGTCTCGGGCGCAACGGAGCTCCGAACCCCCCCAGCCCCACACGCCTTCCTCCCGCAGGCTGGAGTTCCCTCCTCGGGTGCCCCCCCCCTTGCCCCCCTATCGCATCCCCGCCGGAGAGTCCGCCCGGAGGACTTTACCTCTGCAGAGGGCAAAAGAGAAAGAAAGTTAGGCTGGCCCGGCCGGGGAGCCCGCGCGCCGGACGGCGGAGAGCGAGTCCTGCCTCAGCGCGGGCTTGCCAGCCCCATGCCCCGCGCGGCCGCCGCTGTCCCGGCCCCGGCCGCCGCCTCTCCCTCGGCCGCGCGAGTGACGACGCGGCCGCCCGGCTCCCGCCGCTCTCCGAGTGCCGCCCTGCCCGCGCCCGGGGCGCTCACACACTCACGCTCGCTGGCGCGCACTCACACACACGCGCGCACGCCCCCGAAGGCCGCTCCGCCGCCGCCGCCGCTCGCGCAGGGAGTGGGGGGCGGAGGGGAGCGCGGGGGCGGGGGGCGGGGCGCCGGGCGGGGCGCCGGCCAATAACGTCGGCGAGCAGCCGGCCCGCTCGCTGGCCAAGTTGGAACCCCGGGAAAAAAGAGGAAAAGTTAAAGGGAACCGGCCCCGAGACGCGCGAGAGGGTGGCAACCGGGGAGCCCGAGAAGGAGCGGCAGAGACAAAGAGAAAGCGAGAGGAGCGCCCGGGGAAACCCCGCAGAGGGGGGCTGGGCCGGCGCGCACCCCGTGCGGGAGGAGGGGCGCGGGGACTGTCAGCGGAGCCCCGCGCCCCGGGGAGCGCGCGGGGGCGGGCTGGGGAGGGGGGAGGGAGAGGGAGGGGACGGCCTCCCCTTCCCCGTCCCGGTCCCCGCCAAGCACATCTGTGTTTGTTTTCTTTGCCGCACCGAGGTCGGGCCTTCCCCTAACCCAGGCTGGTGGCCCTGGTGGCACCGCACGCGGGGCCGTGCCCCTGCGGGCACGCAGCCCCGGGCGGCGAGGAAGACGAGGGGAATGTGGCCTCTGCCTTGCTGCTGCTCCCTGGGAGAGAACCCCGGCGAAAACTCTCGGCGAGAACCCCGGGAACGCGGCTCCTCCCCGCCAGGCCGAAGCGGTGAGACGCCGCCGCAGGGCAGCCCTGGGGACTGAGCCTGCGGGACCCTGCCGGGCCTCGCGCCCGGGGGCGGCCCGACCCTTGGCGCATCCCCAGAGGCTTTATGGCACTTCCTCCCTGGCGTAGGCTAAGGGCGCCACGCACGCTACGCCGTCTCGTGGGGTCTGTGCAGGACAGGCATTCGCTCCATTTTGCAGGTGAGCTAACTGAGGCTCGGAACGGGGAAGAAGCTTGCCAGGTGTCCCGGCTACTAACCCTCCAACCCTCGAATCGAAACCGGTGCTCCTTTCTCTGCACGGGGTTTCACGGGGCGTTCCCCGGGCCAGCCAGCTTGTCCGTCTTGCCTCACTGTGTCACCTTAACAAAAGGTCCGAGGAGAGGGACGCCGCATCCATTGACCATAACGCAGTAGCAACAGCGGCAGCAACAGCCAGCGCCACCCAAGAGCTTTGGGAAAAAGTGCGCTTGGCTGAGAGTTTGGAAACGAATTTCTGCTGGTGACTTGTCCCTTTCAGTGTGTGATCCAGTACTAGACGCAGATGGAAAGCTCCAGCCCCAGGTACTGGTTCTGGCCCAGCTGCTGCCTGGCCCCCACGCTTCAGCTCCTTGAAAGTGTCTCCTTTTCCCTTATTGGAATGTTCCTAAACCCTGAGACACTAAGAAGGGGCCCCAGGGCTCTGTCTGGCCGAGCTCCGTCTCCTTGGAGGAGCGCCTTCCCGGTCTTCCCCAGCCTCCCGGAGAGCTGGCCACCCAGGCCCGCTCTTGCAGGGAGGGAGCTCACCGCAGCCCAAGGAAATAAATCCGCGTCGTGGCAGCACAGCCCGGATCCATCCCCTCCGCGGAGAGAGCGCTTCAGCTTCGCCTTTTCCCACTACACTCCCTGCCTGTTTATTTATGCCTCGCCTTGTGCCAGAGAGGATTTCAGGTGACTTACAAGGGTACTTAAAATATGGCAAAATAACATAAATTAGAAGAGAAGGGAGAGGAAATCCATGAAATGTTTAACCATTGTGGACTGTGAAGTCCCAGGAGTCCTCTGCCAGTGAGCGGAGCGACCCGCACCACGCACTTTTCTGCCTGGGCTGTGTGAACTTGCTCACGTCTGTTGATCGTTCTTGGCCTCAGTTTTCTCACCCGTATAAGGGGGACAATGATATCTACCCCGCTGGATGGTGAGTGCCAAAAGAATCAGCATGTGTCACTGCTATGGCATATAGTAAGTGTGTCTACCTGTTGTAGTTCTGTAATACCCAAGAATGTGCCCTTATGCACCAAAAGCTTGTGAAAAGTGGACACAAAGATAACTACACAGTGGTGTTAAAAACTGTGAAACCCAGGCATCGTCTTTCCATAATACACATGTTCTGTGAACTCTTTGAAGACCCTTGTATATGTATATGTAAATATCCAGAAAGCCAGTCACATAATAAGCAGATATAGAATTGTGAGTGATTGGGGTTTTTTAAAAATTATTTATTTGAAAGGAAGAGTTGTAGAGAAAGGGAGAGACAGATCTTCCATCCACTGGTTCACTCTCCCAGATGGCCACAACTCCATCTGGGTCTCCTACCTGGATGGCAGGGGCCCAGGCACTTGGGTCACCTTCTGCTGCTTTTCCAGGCATATTAGCAGGGAGCTGGATCAGAAGTGGAGCAGCCAGGACTCAATCAGGATTCCGGCATCACAGGTGGCTGCTTAACCAGCTGCGTCACAATGCCAGCCCTGGTTTTTAGTATTAAATTGCTAAAGTTACACAGAAATTTTAAATCATTTAAAAAACATATAAGTACGTGGAAAGTTGTCTGTGATGGATTATAAAAAGAATAAAGCAAAATTTTAAAAAGCGCACAGTATAATCTCTTTATTTGCTGAAAAAGTATGCCTCACAAGACAACATTGTTAAAGTAAGCAGAGATGGGAATGAAACCCAGTGCACCTGCAATGCACTTTTCACAGATTCGTCCCTAAGCTCTCCCACAGCCAGAACGAAAAGGATAGACCATGTCCCTTACACAATTCCCGGCATCCAAGAGATAAAAACAGACCCCTGGCTCAAGAGAATTACAACTATTCTTGGTCCTACAATCAGACAGGAATTTCTCCTGGAGGGCCTCAAATAGGAACATAGTGTGAGGTCATGACAACACCCCTGGAACAGTGTCCGGTTTCTGGATGGCCCTCGATGTCAGCAGAGAACAGCTCCTGGCATGGAGGCTGACAGGTGCTCAGCTCACCGCCCACCTGAGTGCAGTGTGTTCTGGAGCACCTGCGGGACTCGATGGCCAAGTGCTTTCCAAGCCTTCCTCCTGCTGTGTGTCCTGCTTTCTGTCCACACAGCTTTTTGGTGGATCTGGTCTGGCAGCAAGTTTGCAATTGCACTCCCTAGAGCCAGCTGAGCCTGGGCCAGTGGTTTTGGGGAGAGTCGGGGGAGGAGCCTTTTCCACTTTCCTTGTAGGGCTAGCTAAGCCTGTCACCTCCAGGAGCTCACGGTGGGCAGGGCAGTCTCACTCACCTTCTATCCAGGAGCTCTGGAACTTTCTGGAATACAGTATACCTTCTCTGCCTCTGTTCAAAAACCAACTCATGGTCACTTGTGCAGTTGGTCTGATTCCAGCCCCACACTGCAAGCCAGATCCAGGCGCTGCCTCTTTGTATTTTAGAAACCACACCTCTGTCCTCCGTGTGTTATCTCTTCTGGGCAAAATGTCCCCAGTTCTCTCACTGATTCCTCCAGGACCTGGTTTCCCAACCACTGTGCCGCCTCTCCCAGGGACCTCTCATTTGTCAGTGTCCCGTCCGAGAGCCTGGCTGCCTTTTGAGGGGACAAATGAAAAAAACAGATGTCCAAGTGTCACCAGAGTGCCTTGGAGCCAGGGGTTATAAATACACACCAAGGCCAGGCGGGTCAGGCTCAGAGCAGCAGGATCCACCCCCCCACCCCCACCCCCGAATCATGTTGGGTGCAAAAGCAAATCCCCAGGTGTTTCGGGAAGGAATGCCTGGGGTGGGGGTAGGGGTGGGGTGGGGGGCAGCACCGTTCTGGGCACACAGCCTTACCTGCGAAGCCAGAGGCTTCTGGAAGAGTAGAACCTGGCGGATGCAAGACGTGGTAGGAGTAGCCAGAGGAGGAGGAGTGTGGCAGGAACCAATGGGCAAGGGAGGAAGGAGAGGTGGGAGGCACTGTCACATGCCTTAAAGGTCAAGATAAGATCTGAAAGGAGTCCTTTGGTTAAACTACAAGGAAGTCATCGGGAGACCTGGACTAGCAGTGGCAGAAGAGTGTGGGGACAGAAGCCAGACTGCCTGGGGCTGTGGAGTGAAAGGGAGGTGAGAAAGTGGAGATAGCAGGAGTGTAGACAGCTCCCAAGAAGTGTGAATCCAAGTGGCAGGGAAGGGAGAGGCGTGGCAGGAAGGTGGCAGGAAGGTGACAAGGGATGGAGGGAAGGCAGAGGTTTCTTGCTGTTGTTTACAAGATAAGGCTATTTGAACAGACCTAAAGGTCCATAGGAAGGCAGATAAAAACCACCCTTCTGAAGCTGTGGTCAGGTGGTCTTGTCTGAATTAAATAGGAGGCAACACGGCCTGCTGAGAGTGGGGGAGAGCAGAGAGCACTGGTGGTTTGCAGAGGAGACGCCTGATGTGGTCCTTAGGGGGAGGAAGACCGCGCTTGCTGGCAGAATCCAAGGTCCCATCGAGGTTGGTGACCATCGATGAGAAAGAGTGGTGGCCAACAGGGTCTCGAACACCCCCACCCGGAGCACCCCGCAGTCCCTGTGTAGGCCTAGAGAGAGAGAGATTAGCCTAGAGGTGAGGGCATTTCCCAAGACGTGACACGGAGGGACAAGGGGAAGAGTGGGAGGAAAAGCCCAAGACAGAGGGACATGAAGTCAGGACAGGGAGCGAAGAGGATTTGGGGAAGGCAAGGGCTCTAGGCTGTGCTCTTCCAACACACCGTGCACTACAAAGACGTCACTGACAATGGAATTTGAAAAGATAAGCTTGTGGCCTAGTGGTTAAGACGCGGGTTAAGATGCCTGCATTCCCTATCAGTGCCTGGGTTCCATCGCTGGCTCTAGCTCCAGACTCCAGCTTTCTGCTAACGCACAGCCTTGGAGGCAGCAGTGGTGGCTCAAGTAGTCGGGTCACTGCCAGCCATGTAGTAGTACACGCTACCCATGTAATAGACCTGGATTGAGTTCCTGGCTCCTGGCTTTGGCACAACCTGGTCTTGGGTGTTGCAGGGTTTCAGAAAGTAAACCAGCTGATGAGGGGCCAGTGCTGTGGC